ATACATTTTCTAGCTACATTAGAAAATAAAACCTTTGGCTTTATCTCTCCATTTCTAAAAACTCAAAATTCTCAAAATGCTAAACGCTCTTGTACCATTTAAATGTAGTCTACAAATAGGAAGGACATTTAGGAACGTGAAATATATTTATCCTTATCTCGTATTCAAGTGGTTTCTTAATTTTCATCAAAGACTACACAAAATCAAATTATAATTCATATTTTTCCAAATGAGAAAATCATTTTAATTTAAAAACTAAACAGACCACTGGTAGAAATGTATTGTTTAAGAAGACTTAAAGAAAAGCCACTTTGAGAAAACGATTTATTTTGAATGTAAATAATGCTTTTATCTCATTATTATGCACTTTAATGGTAACTTCACTAGGGGGCTGATACTGGTGGATATGTCCACTCACATCCTGCAAGGATATTGCAGGAGTTTTCCTATGTATCTTTTTTACCTCTACCCAGTTTCCACTTTTGTTGTTGTTTTGGATTTTTCTGTATGAATTTGGTTTTTTGTTATATCCTTCATAATTCTATTATTGAGTGACTTTTCATTGTTAATTTTCTAGTAGAAAGTAGGACAAGGAAAATTAGTTGGTTATATCTTTATATTTTCTTTCACAGGTGTCACTTTATTGGCCAATTTTTAAGTATTTCATGAAAAGATTCTAGATGTCAAAACCTGCAGTTAATGTTCCTGTTTAGAAATACACAAAATAATACCTTTGACGTTGGCAACTCAGATGTATTATTCAGCAAAACAGCAATTACTCATTGTTTTGCACTTACATGTTAAGAACTATGCGACACTTGGTGACACAATAACAAAATTGCAAAGTCAATTATATTTAAAGTAGACATCCCAATAAAACATATACAACCAACTCCTTTTACTCTTTTTGAACTGTTTTGTTTTCTCTTTCTGACTGTTTACAGTTAAATCGAAAACGTGAATGTTAAATCCAAATATAATAACTGATTCACACACATCATGAGAAAAGGAAAGTTAGAAAATGGGGAGGGAGGGTAACACAAAGGGAGGTGTATTCCTGAGAGTACCAGAATCCAACTAGGGAGTTGCCAGAATGTTGCATATTTTTGGAAATGTACATCTATGATGTTCTTTTGCAATGTCAATCATAGTGGCAAACTCTGAAAGAGCAGTGTCTGCCAAAATTTCAAGCAAAATTTAGGTTGGATGCATACTAATAATTCTAAGCAGAGCTAAAGCAATAAAACCCAAGTAGAGTCAAGATCTTTACATCTAAGAAGGGAGGGCTTCAGGTGGGAGTAGTTGTTTGTTTTACTCTATTTTAAATTGCACAAGAAGCATTTTTGAAACTTGAACTTCCCAGTAATGAATTCTGCTTCTCAACCCAGGCTGCAGCCTGAACTGAAGTTCCCATCAGAAAATTAAAATGTTTGTCTGGATAAAATAACTTCTAAATGAACTCTCTATTTCTTTTCGTTTCTTTTTGTATTTTCTGCAATGTAGCCCCTCGCAATGATATTAGTTCTAGTGTGGGAAAATATTATAATTGAGATCTGGTAAGTTATTTGCAGACTTCAAGTTTTTCTTTACACTGTGCTGACATTTAGTACAGCCCTGGTGAGGAAAACAATACTACCATTCATAGCTCTAGACGTAGATTTCAATCGACTTAAGCGGGCACAATGAAACTTGGTCATTCACTGGTTACCCATATTGTGTTCTCAAATTTTCTCTCAGCAAAAGTATAATGACTCAGTATTGTATGGTTGCATAGACAAGGGCTCGGAACAAGAGACACTAGTTTTGTCTGACGGTGTGAGAAAGTCGTGAAGGGATCTTTTCTTCCAGATGGTGTTAAATTCAGCTGCCTTTTTAACATTGGCCTTGCACAGCAATCTGCTGCTCCCCTTTCACAAAGACTGCGCTTGGTTCCCACTAGTTAACATGCATACTCACGCAACCTGCAACTTCACTCCAACTGTTTTACAATGCAGTGGTATGCTAAATAAACTTGATCCGGTTTCTGCCAATGTTAAAACTAGCTTTCAAAGAACTACTTAACTGATATTTACACTTCTTTTGACTTATATGTACATGCCTTTGGAATATTTCAGATTTCAAAGGAATATCACCTTATTATAAGGTCATTGTAGAGATTACCTTGGACATCCTTCAGACCCATGTTCAGATATAGTACCTCTCTTCAACACACACAAATAAAACAAAATGTCAGAAGTTTGATGTGCAATAGAAAAAAGAAAAATTGGGACATGTTGCAGCAGGAATAGTGGAACAGCAAAAAATAAAATGAAAATAATAACATTGAAATGTATTTTTATTGATCGATAAGTCATGTAACATTAGTGTGGTACAAAGCAAGTTTGATATGACAATGGCAAACACATAATTATAATATTGTTTATTTTCCTTAGATGCTATATTTAACACATTTACATAAAAGACCAAGATGTAAGCAAAAGCTTCAGTAATTTGACTCCATTGAGTGCTTTCAGTAAACAATAGGTTTCCCTAGCAAACATCTTATTGCCTTAATTGAACCTCCTTGAGAAAGAAAACCACACACTTTGTAATGTAAATGTTAATTGTAGTAGACAATGGTCCTAGGTAAATAGCACCCCTGGACATGAAGTAAATGAAAGGAATACAGGCACTTAACAATGAAAGGTTGTTTGCACAAACAGTGCTTCAAATGTAAATAAACAAGGGTCTTCTCAACGGTCACTACAGTAGTAAAACTTTGGCACGTGTTCAGCAGCCATAATGAGAATTTACGTTAATAAAGTCTCTCAGAGTTTCTAACTGAAACTAACAGTGGGTTTACAGGGTTCTCCAGTCTAGAATCTTATAAGGTGCTGAAGCTACAAAGGAAAATGTAATGCTTTTGAAGAAAAATTCTGTATTTGGAATTTGAGATTGTCAGTAATCCAGGCCACATGGAAGAGAACAGGCCATTTTAGGCATTTTCTTACTGCGATGTTTGTATTTACGTTTAATGCCTATACAAATGTTTGCTTTGACATGTGGGAAAATGTAAGAACTTTTATGAAAAGATGGCAGTGGGGACCTCCAAAGCCCCAAAGTTCCTGCTAAGTATAGTCATTTTTAGATTCAATAAAAATGGCTGTATAGAATGCATCTCACTGGGACCATACCAAAACAACCTTTTATCATATTACTACTGTAATTAGCTTTCTGTAGGCTGGTGATTTTATAGTTTTACTTCCAGTGGGTGTCTACTAGCATAATTGGGCCAAGTTCCTAGATATATCATGTTACGGGGTAAACAGCCTGATGAAGTGATGATAATGTCCATTATAGAGTATGTGTTGTCTAGATATAATCCACCCAAAACAAAAGCCAAAAGGTGGTCACAAGGCCAAAAGTACAGACTGAGAATCTGACGTGGAGAGCAGGCAGAAATGGGACTTTTGGGGAGCTGCTTTCCACTAGCTTTTCTTAAATACTGAAAACCTTAACCAAAGAAGAAAGCTGAACTTAAGTATGGACAAATTAAACAGCGGTTATAAAATTAACAGAAACAGACAGTATGCAGCAACTGCAGACCAGTTGGTGCTACCATTTGGGAGGCTGCAGATGGCTGTGGGTGGGAAATGCCTCTACTTTCTTAGGCGATGGAGATGAGTATGGTGTGTGCACTTGATGTTTTTTTCATACCCCCACCCCCCCAACAGGGCTGTCTGTCATAGGCTGCCGGCCCGCTTTACCACTTGCCCCCGAGCGTGGGAATCGGAGCGTCCTGCCGTTCACATCTCCTGCATTCCGTTTATCGGAATCAATTAGGCAAGACAGACCCTCAGATTCCCCACCCCCTTTCCATTTTTGTCAGGTCTATATACGTCCTAATTATTTCAGTTTGGGATGCCAGAGCTGTTTCCTGGATAGACCTGATCATCCTTAAACAAAAAGAGAGGAGGCGCACACGTGGGTTGTGGCGTAAATGTCACTTTCATTTCCAATGCTAGGCGCAGAGTAAGACAGAACATTTTTTTAACACTTTGACAAGAGGGGAGGCGATCTCGTCTCCATCATGTCTTTCTGCTTCAGTAGCTTCCTCAAGGAAACCCTCTTGGAACAGAGAAGCATCTGTCCTTGTATTTTGAATAGAAGAATAAAAATCAGCCTTTGCTTTTTTTTTTTTTTTTTTGCATTTACTCTGCTAGCTGTATGTCCTCAGAGATACAAATTATTAACCTTCCATTATAAACTTTTCTGAAAGTCTAATTTAATATAATTTGATATACAACCCCAATACATACAGTCCTCAAGCATAATCTTCAAATTTTTCAGGGGTGGGGAACCTCAGAAGGAAATAGCCTACATCTATGTATTATGAAATCATTTTTAAACTAGACACCAGACATCTCTACAACAGCTTTCTAAGGAAAAAAAACAAACAAACAAACATAAAACAACCACCCTCATATAAACTTTTGTCTTAAAGCAGGACAAACTACACATGCATCTTTACTTATTAGCACCATACAATTCTCCTTTGCATCTGTAACAACCCCTCTCAAAGTATCTGGCACCTTCATATTGTGGCATCTGTGTGTCACTCAATTTCCTCTAATCCCACCTTTAGTCATAAGGAAAAAGAACAAAAGCAAAAACAAAAACAAAGTTAGATTCAATAAGTATTCCTGACCTTTCTGGTTTTTACTGTCTCTTGGCTGTAGTCTTTCATTCTCACATGCTCCCCGGCGATCTTGAAGGAGTTTTTACTTTCGGTTATCTAGCTTTATGAAGACCAATACACTCATACAGCTAGATAACCAAAGATAACAACTCGCTTCCCTCACACGCCTCTGTCTTCCTCTGGCCAGACTCCAGATCCCGATCTCTCTGGTAGCACCGAAGAGTAGTCCTCCAGGACACGTGTCGTACATAAGATTCCTTCTTGCATGTAAATATGACCTGGTTTCTGTTCGTGTGTGCGGCTAAAACATCCAAACGAGATCTGTTGCTTTCAAAGTTTATTCCGAACTTTTTTTTTTTCCTTTCAGCAAGTAATCTCCGGCAGCGTTAGCCAACAATTCATCTATTAATATCAGAAAATAAAACCAGCTATTAAGGTGCAGCAAGCGGTTACGAGTGAGCAGCAGCATCCGTCCCTCCACAGGCCTCTATTTGCATTGTAAATTGCTTCATTCTCACGCAAGACTCTTTAGCCTCCCTCTATAGAGATGTACAAAGCCAGCGGCAATTTCCAGCGCAGGTTAAGGAGGAAGGAAAAAAAAACATCCCATTCTATAGAAGAGGTGACAGCTGATTCAAGGATCTGCTCCTGATCCTTTTGGGTTAGGCACCGTGAGCTTTTTACCAAGCGGTGGCAGCTTGATTGCACATATCTCGTGTGTGTGTGTTTTAGGGGGAAGATCCTCGATTTCACAGGGCTTCTAGGCTGGGGAGGAGAAGATGCCGTCTTGCTGGCGTGCTGCTGCCCCCGGTCTGAAAGAAGGAGAAAAGGGCCATCATTGGAGGGGCTTTCACTGCCAAAATGTGGACCAGCCCGGCAAGGTCAAAGGTTCGAGACCGCGGGAGACCAAGGTAATGATGATGTCATGAGAAATCTCAAGTACACGGTTATTGATATGCATCAGTGATCAGCCAACTGCCCCACGCCTCCTGCCAGAGCAGCGGCTGCGGCGGCAGCGGCGGCGGCGGCGGCAGCCTTGCAACAAGCCCTATTTTCTGAATCAACAGCTCTTCCGCCAGCACTACCGACCGCTCCAGGAAAAGCAACCCGCGGCCTTTTACCTCCTCGGTGCTAGTGTAGATCGCTCTAATATCCAAAGACTGGAAGAAATCTCTCTCTAAGGACAGATAAAAGCATTTCAGATCTGGGGAACGTCTTTGCCTGCATTTCTCTTCTGGCAGATTGCATGGGCAGACAGATGGAGAGCACTTTGCTATTGCTTAAAGCAGGGCCTTGCTTTCTGGGGCTGGGAATCAGATCTGTATTACGCAGTGAGTCGATGTGTGATTACATTGACAATTTGCTCTGGTGGTGTGTTTTTAATGGCTTCACGGCTCAGGCATGTTTTGTATCTATGTGCCATGGCGATATAGGGCAGCGTATTTGGTTTGCTCTGTAAGTTCAAACGGAATGCTCTAAGCAGGCCGACTTCATCCTGATTTCTTAAAAAATGACTCTGCATGGGGTGTGTGCCTTCGAAGGTAGCACAGGTAAACAATGCAGCATTAGTTTCTACTGTTGTACGCAACTCTGCTGTAATAAAAACGCTGAGCCTTTGTTTATCATTTCAAAAATCAGTTTTCATAAAGGACAAAACGTACTAGTCTTCCTTATGAAATTATGAAAAAAGTATCCTTACCTCATGAAAACGACCAAACACCTGAGTGTTAAGAGCATAACTTTACCCCACCTTTCCCTTCCCCACCCCCACCTTTTTTCTATCTAGAGGGGGATATTATTTTATTAATTAGCCTCATTCCTTTTCTTAGGACTTTTCAAAGTGTAAATATGTCACTTTGAAGAGCTCTTTTCTTCTCCTCCGTTAATGGGTGATCTATGTCTAATGCATCTATGATACGTACAGTTCTAATCCCCAGCTGTCCCTCCACAGAATAGCTAAGGTGCAGTCCACGTAAGATGCATATTCACCATGGGTGAACTTTATGGATTGTTTCCCAAAATTGGGAGTCATGTTTGGTGTTGCTATTCTTTAAAATATATGCTACACGTGAATGGCATAAATCTTCATATTCATTTCACACATCACTAGTTTATCACAATACTCTCATTTCTTTAGGTGGACTATTTTGCCCAATGACTAAAACACTTTCAGAATTAATATATACTCTTTCATTAATTCAGTAATTTATTCTTATAAGACATGAGTGTGAATACGCTTACCAAGTTATGTACAGAACACATATGTGTAAATCTTATTTAAAAAGACTGACAAGAGAACCAAAATTGCTAAGAAAAGCCCCCAATCTACAGTTCATACAATAATATCACACCAATTAAAGATACAACTTAGAAACACAGATGCCAACTTTCCCTTAGATTTTTTTATTCACTTTTTTGGGTGAGCATTTGTGTTCTGATTATTTAGAAAAGACTCATCTACTTTTCTTATCAATCTTGGTATAAGAAGTGTGATCAGAAATGGCTGCATTGGGTTACATATAAAATGTACGTGCAGACTACAAACTAATTCAGAGAAACACACTTCCATGGAGTTACTGTTCCTTCTTGAACTACGAGGTCACAACATAAACTAATGGACAGAACTGAACACATGACTGAGGCACATGCCTCTTGGACATTATGTAAAACCATAATGAGCTTTGCTGCATTGGAAGATTGAGAGTATTTTGGCCTTGCTTTCCAAGACCTAGAAGCAGAATCATTAGTGATTTGGCATGTACTACATAAAGCAAGCATATGATCAGGTGAATTCAATTCTTTAAGTCAAAACCCTAAGAAATGCCAGATATTTTTAGAATATTTTTTTGCTTTATATACATCTGGGTGGGGGTTGGTGAAAGTGGAGAGATGTGATACATGTATGTCTGTGTATGTGTGTCACCCCATATTTGTGTGAATTCGCAAATTAATGTGGCTATATTCCCACATTTAACAATTAAATGCATTTTTAGAACCCAAGTGACTATCATGAAAGCCAAGACACTGAACATTTGAAGTGCTTCTACAATTAGAAGCTACAGAAAATACTGTCGTAGAATAGTATCTTCTAAAGCAATGCCACATAGTCATATCACCTGACTCCAGGACTGGCCCTCATACATGTCACATATACCGTAGATTCATTGTGAGAGCCCCCCAAAGTGAAAATAGCCAACATAAAGATTATGGGCAGTCTGTTCACTAGCCATATAGCCAATTAAACACTTTACCCCTCCATCCCCTTTCAAGGTATGGAGAAATAAAAGATACACAGCAAGGCTTAACACCGAACACCTGATTATTTTGAATATTCCCAAGGTCCATGGCATGGTTTATCATATACATTTCAAGGACTTTATTATCACTTAGGATTGTGAGCCAGTTGAAACAATTGGGCTGATTCCTAGCAATGCCTGCCATACATTGTTATGAGCAACTATTAACACCTACATGTTTTTATTTCAGATATTTTTGTTTTTCAGAAAGCCATTTCTCTGAGATACAGAATACCCTTTCTGAAATCTGCATATTGAAGGATATATTGAATTCAAATGGCTTGCTTGCTCATTCTCTAATAAATTCCCATTAATGGCTCGTAGATTAGGACGTGATTGTCATGCTTGTTTTCTAATCTTTTTATAGGTCTCCAGATGGCTGAAACATGAATTGAAACATCCTGGTTTTCTTGGGAATAAACAATCTCTGCTTAAGTTAGAAGTAGAAAGTTATGATTTTCCACATATTTGGATCAGAATTATGCTATTCCATAAATGCAAATAATCAGGTTTGCCACTCATATATATTTAGAACACCTCTCTGAGTCCTATTCAGACTACTGCAGAGTGTATAAAGAATTGGCCTATCACTAAATCCCTTTTTAATACTGAGTTTGTAGATTCTTATGTAAGTAAACCACAGTTCACTAATACAGTCAAGACTACCATTTTCTACATAAAAGCCATTTAATTTACAGCAGTTTGTATAGTTCAGGCAAGGTACTTGACTGGCTTACTTTCTAATAAAAGTGTCCTGTTATGTCTTCTGTATCCTGAAATTCATTTTTATAGGCCTTTACAGGTTATGTTTGCATTATTCTTGATATATAGTATACAAAGGCTACACACAGGGAAAAAAACTGCACATATGGAAACTTAGATTTTTCTGGAATCGTATCTGTTGGATGAACTGGGACATATGCAATACACAGGAGGCCTACCATCCAGCAAATGATATTCTATTTTGGCTTTGTATATCATTTTGATTTGACCAAATATAAAATTTTAAATTACCTTTGGTTGGTTGTATTGTCTATTCATTTTATGCTTCTTTGTAGTCTCATCTGAAAAATAGTCAAGAAAACAAATGATCACAGTTTTAATATATACATATAGCTATATAATCATGTTTAGATTTGGCTTCATTTTAAAGTATTGCAATTACCATGATCCTTTAAAATGCCAAGAGATTACAGAAAGCCCCAGTACAATGTATGCTGGGCTTCAGCACCCATAGGGTTAAATATGCTAATTTGCATTTAAATGGAGACATGCATGATAATAGGAATGCAAAATATGCAGAATCTGGAGGGGTTTGGGAAATTAATTTTTTCTTTCTTCTTTTCTTTTATTTTTAGCTTGGAAGGAAGAGGGACCCTTAAAAAACATTAGGGATTTGAACACTGTAACCTGCCATACAAAAGACGAGGGAGAGTTCTTCCATGTAAGAATTTCAAGACTGGAACAAAGTCATATTTTCTAAATGTTTAAGGAACTGGATTTCTAGGCCTTTCAAACAATGGGAATCCCTAGATAAACATCTAATCCATTAGAAAGATGCAAATAGTTTACTGTAAGGCCACAGCACGGTGAGATGTGCATTCATATCTATGGCTCCTGATTGGCTATTTCCTTCAGTAAATCAATGAATAATGTAAAACCTGATTGCTGTAAAGTGGTGGATTTTTTAATTCCCTTCCCCCATTCCTCCATGACTCGATATTCAAAAAGTCTTACTCTCTCAAAAATAGGTTGCTTTTCTTTTATGATTTTTTAAATGCTTATTGTTATTTTGGAGTAGTGGGGTGGGGCTACTGGTTTTGCAAAATGAAAGTACTGTGCTGGTTCAATTATGCTGACTATGGGAGCTCCGTTTCCGAGACAGCGCCCTAATTACTGGTGGCAAGGTGGAGAAGGAGGGTGCTGGGAAGAGCTGGGCACCAGGAGAGGGAGGAAACTGGATCCGACCCTGCCATTCTGGGCCCAAAGCAGCCACAGCCCCAAAAAAAGCCCCGGGCCATGGCCGTGACTTGACAGGGCCTCCGGTCTAACTTCTGATCAATACCATTGCTGCCCTGACCCCTCAAGACAGTCCCCCATTCAAGCAGCGCCCGTACGTTTGCAAGAGAAAACGCGGCAGACACTAATGCAAATACAGTGCGTGGGTTCCCACCTCCCGGTGTTCCCTCAGACAATTCCAGGCCACGGAAGGAAGATCTTGCCTCCCTCAGCGGGGTCTGGGCTCCAAGCAAACTGCAGAGACCGGCTCCCCTCAGATACCAGAAGCATCTGAAGCTGAAATGTTCCACGTCCCAATAACTAGCCGCGATGGCTGTATCTTGATGAATCTGAACTTGGGATAACCCTGTAAAGCGGCCTCTCGCCTCCTAGAATCCAAAAGGCTAGAGAAAAGGGAAGTGGAAATCCACTACATCTAGTTAGCTAGTGTACCTTAAGTTTCCACCATAACCCAGTCAGATCCTCACTTCGTTGCCAGATGATTGCAACTTTGAGGTGGTTAAAAGAATCATTCAAAATGCAAATCTTGAATCCAGGAACGCAAAATACAATTGTATTTAGCCTTTCGTTTATAAGAAAAAAGTGCCGCTAAACAACAACACAAAACTACATACAAAATTCCCCTTTTCAACGCTAAATTTTCCTGGCATCTCTCTGCAACTGGGGGTCAAACCGCTGGATAATTAACAGTTCTGGCTCAGACGACTCCAGAGATCAACAGGTTTAGCATCCGAGACTCACAATCAATTAGCTGTAGCAAAGCCCCGGACTGGCCCTCGGAGCGGCCCGCAGCGGGGCTCTGCGGTCACCGGCTCGGGGACGAGGTGAGGAGCGCGGGCGCGGGGTTTGCAGCGGTCACTGCTGGCCCGGTGCCGCCGACCGAGTTGCCGCCTGCGGGCCGCCACGATACTCACTTGCTCTCCTCCTGCGCCAGGCGGTGTTGCCCCCCAAATCCAGCTGGGCAGGAATCGAGGCGCCGGCCAGAAGACAAGATCCAGAGTCACAGAGCGGCCGCAGTACACAAACAGGCTCCTTTCGGCGTCTCAAAAAAAGAAAAAAATTTTTTTCAGATCATTCCTCTCCACAGCACATTTAAAACTGCCGCTCAATTCCACACGGTGATTCTTGCTTGATTGCGTCTAAAATAGTTTAAACGGATATTCCCTTCTGGGGAGAGAGAGAGAAGGGCGCAAAAGACGAAAGAGGAAAAAAGCCAACTTTTCCCCCCCACGCCAGGCACTTGCTCCCTGAGCCTCGGAGTGGAGAGTGAAGTGGTGTGTGCGAGGCTTGGCAAGTTTTTGGGGGGGCTGTCCAAGGTCTAGTCCAGCCCCCTCTGCCGAGGAGGACGTGCTCTGAAACTCAACCAATTTCCCCACTGCTTTTGTTACTGATGAACTGAAGCCCTATTGTTCATCCATTGCCACGGTCTTTTTCAGTCCCCACACTACGTTCTGCGTTGCCAGAGATAATGAATTTGCACCCAAACCTCTCATAGTCCCCTCCTGACAGACGGAACAAATTAGAAATGTCTCGTCTGAAGGAAGGCAATGGCTACATTTTCCTATTGTAGGATGTAAAGAACACATTTCTTTGGAAACTTCTCTTGCCTTTTCTACCTTTTATTTTTCTCTTTCCTCTTTTTCTTTTTTCCTTCAGTTTTTTTTCTCTTGATTTCTTTAGACTCTCTCTCTCCTGTTCTTCTTCTTCTTCTTTTTTTTAAAAGAATAGGCCCGTCTTGTTTTTCCAGTGCACCATTTTATGTAACTTGTGGATCTTTTCTACCTTCCTCCTCTCCTCTCCTTTTTTCCTTTAAGAACTCCCTTTGCAATTTTATTTACAAACTTGGAGAATGACCTTTTGACTTGCAGACTTTTTTTAAAAAAAGAAAGGTCTTTTGGTTCAAGTCCCCTTCCTTACTCCTCCTCCTCTTTTTGTTGTGGCCGTCAAATGTGTTTGGCTAAAGACAAGCAATACGTTATAAGGATTTTTATTCTTTAAACTCCAGAGCTATTCAAAACGTACCAGGGACTCCCTATAGGGTTTTTTATTTGAGGGGGGAAGAAAAAGCGTGTGAGTGTGTGTGTGTGTGTGTGTGTGTGTGTATGTGTGTGCGCGCGCGCGCGCGCGCGTGTGTTCCAGGCAAAGGCAGAGAGATGTGGGAGGGTGTGGGTGGGAGTGTGCAGGGAGAGAAGGGTGGGGGCCTTGAGGGAAAGTGGGCTTCCTGGAACACGAGCCGGGAGGCTGTCAGGGGTGTAGGCGCGAGAGGGAGGGTGCAAGAATCCGTCTCGCCGAGGGCGGCTTGCACCCCTAGGCCTGCTCGCGCTCCCAGCCGGCCGCAACCTGGGCGCGGGTGTCTGCGCGCGCGGGCGCTTGTTCCGAGCCTGCGCGCGTGCGACCGGGGGCGGAACGGGGGCTATAAAAATTCAGGCGAGTGGCCCGTATGTAAATGCGGCCCGGGGGGAGCGGGGAGGTGGTAATGAGAGCTGCAGGCGCTCAGTCCCGCCGGCGGCCCCCAGCTTTCCCGCCAAGTGCAGCGGGAGGACAGACAGCCATGCGTGTCCTTGGCGGGAGGGCCCCCGCCCGCGCGCGCGCCCGCCCCCCGCGCACACGCACACATTCCCCTCGCAGGCGTGGGGCCCGGTGGCCACGAGCATGTCAGGAAAACAAAGCTAGGGTTGCGAGGTGGAACGAAGAAACCGCAGCCTTGGCGGCCAAGGGCAGGACTGGGAAGCCAACCAACACCGCGGCCTCCGGCGCTCCTTCCTTGGCAACCCGCGGCTCGGCCCTCCGCCCCGGACTCCGCATGGCCCCGGCCCAGAAGAGGTCGAGGATCATTTCTTAGCTACCTAGGAGTGGGTGGCGAGCAGAAGCGGGGGCGGCTGTGCATTGGGAGGTGCCAGCGGCTCCCGCCCGGTGCGCAGGCACGCACACGCCGGCGCGCGGGGCTGGGTGGGGGGCGGGGGTGGGGAATAGTCTGAAGGCCTCCCTGCCGCGTAGCCAAGAGTCGCTACCTCCTCGCTGAGGCTGCTGAGCTCCGAGATAAAAACACACCAGGCTGAATGAATCCGCAAGGCAGCGCCCTGGGCTGCGATCAAGGAACGGCTCACACCTCAAAAGACCTCCTCCCACACGGTGTAAGAGGAAGGGCCTGGCTGTTCAGAGACAGCCTTCTCCGATAGACATACCCCGCCTTCCCAAATGCGTGAAACTCGAACTCCAGCCCAGGAGCTCTGGCCTAGGTGGCCCTGAAGATAAGTCCCAGAGGTGGCCTTGGAGAAACACCGATCTCGCTCTCATCTCGCTCGCAGCATCTCCATCACACACACACACACCCACACACACACGCACGAGACACCTCGTCACATTATAACACAGGTTAATAGCATGGCAGTTTATGAAGCCGACGGGCTTAATGAGTGCACAGGTGAACAGGTACCAAACCGAGAAGCTCCCACCAGTCGGCTGGGCGATTTACATCTCCCTACTGGAAACACGTGTAGCTTATCGTGTTTTAGAAATGATTTGGTGTTGTCTGCGGTCTCCCCCTCTTCTTGTAGAGAGAAGCCAAACAAACAAACAAATCATGTTCCATTGTCAGAGTCGTCTCTCTGATAGCTACCGGAGCCCTGGTCTAAAACATTGGGGGATCTGATTTGGTCTGGTCTCTGTTGATTTTGGTTTGTTGTTTTTGAGTGTTTTGTTTTTCTGGGGGAAGCAAAAGAACTTGTATTTTTGGCGCCGGAGGCGCAGGACCAAGAGCTTGTGTGTACGGCCGGAAGGCTGGCGAGGCTGAAAGCCAGGCGGTGGCGAAAGAAGACGGCGGCTTGTCCTCCGCCGGGTCGGTACGGGGCCCCCTGGCCTCTTCGGCCTGGTTTTGGCCGCTGCCGCCGCCCGCGCTAGCGGACTCCGCGGGCTGCCGCTCCGTGTTTTCCCCCATCCCGGCTTCACGTTCAAGGTTTAGCTGCGAGGTCACGTCCATTGACGTCAGCTCCCTGTCTCCCTCTACGTCCGGCTACATTTACATACATCAAGGAAATTAGGGCATTAAAAAAATATGCAAATCCTGCGCGGAGAGGAGCCGGTGCATTCCTGGCGCGATCGCCTTTTATTGAAGCTTTTAATTAAAGGGGCCAGTTGGCGAGCCCCTGAAACAACCGCCAAAACCCCCAAAAGAGAAAAATAAACGCTGTAGCCTTCGGGAACGGTTGTTTCGGCTCCTGTTCTGTGGGCGGCTGAGGACCGCCGGCTGCCTGGCTCGGAGAAGAACAGGTTAGAGGAGGCAGCTCCAGCCCATGCATAATCAGGGCTCCGCGGCGCCTCCATTCTTTCCTCCTCCTCCTCCTCCTCCTCCTCCTCCTTTCCTCCTCCTCCACCTCTCCTCCTCCTCCTCCTCCTCCCGCTCCTGTTGGTTCCAGCGTGTATTATTTTTAATACTGATGCATATGTAAAGATATATTTGCATTTTTTAAATCGCGAAAAGTTCAGGTTGTATCGTTTTATTGATTTCCTCCTTCCTTTTTTGCTATCTTGTTATGTCTGTCTCTCTTGTCCCTTTCTGTCTGTATTTTTTGGCAAGTGTCTGTTGCGGTCTCTTGCTAGATAATATGCACAGTTGCTTCCCTGCTTCTGTGTATTTAAGGCTCCAAATATGCACATCTGTCATGTATGTAATGCCAGCTGTATAACCTCTTGGTTTGATCATAAAAGAGAAGACACTTTTTTTTTTTTCCTGACATACCCCCTTGGTTAGCTGTAATGTCCATCGCTCAAGGCTCAAAGTTTGATTATCTAATTAACTTCATATTAACAAAAACACAGTTCGGGCCAGCGCATTTGAGATAATGTATGTATAAAGGGAAGTGACTCCAAAGATTTCTAAAGAATTTTTGTGCTGATTAACTGAGAGTTGCGGCATTTGTTACCTATTGCCTTATAGCATTTCTTATCGCAAAAAAAAAAAAATCTATTTTAAAATGTGTAGACAGAGCAACGGAGAGCCTTCTGCAAGGAAGACATTTTCAACCATGTTCTATGTTTTACCTTATCTGCTGCACTCAAAATTTACTGAGTTTCATTTTTACCTTATGTGACTGGAAACAGGCACATTTTCTCGATTGAAAAGCATCCTTAATTCCTGACTTTGAAATGAAAACAAATAAACAAAACAGTTGACTATATTAAGCCAGTTGATTTACCCTAAACTGTATAGGCCTTGAGTTAGATATCAAGCTATGGTAATCTTGTTTATAGGGTCAGATTTCCCTTTGGCAATACATCTATTCAACACAATGGCTTTTGGAAAATATATATGTATGAAGTCCACTTTTAAAATTCCCCCAAAGCTATCATTTTTAAAAGACTGATTCCATAATTGCATAGCCACAAAGAACAGCAAGTATGCACACATGCAGCTTATTCAATTAAACAAGTCCAAGTACATGCACAGGTAATTAGTTTTCTTATGAATGACTTACCTGCACAGATACTCAGGGCAAGCTTCACCCCTCCCCAATGCCTTTCATGTATAAATATTCACATGTATTTTCTCCCATTTTAAACCTACAGCTGTATGCCATCTTTCATGCTGGACTATCCAGCATCCATTTTTAGCACCCTTAATTCTTATGGCATTTCCAGCCCTACCTCTGGCTGTAGTTTTCCCAAGCCTACACCAAAGTGCTCATATGATATGTCACCCAATAAAAAGTGGTCAGATGGCTACACGTAAAACATTAAAAAACGGAAACACACTCATCCTTTACGTTTGCCCTTACCTTGCCATACATAGCAAGATTACCTTTCCTAAAGTACATTTTCAGCACATTTTATGCAGGATTTCACAACTGGCTGCAGAATTGCCGGTTTCTGGGGGGCACCTGGCTGAGCGAAACAATTCGGCAGGTTAAATGTCTCTTCGAGTTTGGCTGCAATTCAATCGTGCGTGGCGGTTTGTTCCTGCCTAGACTCTCGAACATACCTGCCTGCCTTTATGCAGGGATCAGGACAAACACACCCGCCACCATTCAGGGCGTAGAGTGGCGGTGCATATATTTAGATGGTACTAGCAAGGAATGTGTGCATGTACGGATGTCTGTGCATGCATGTGTGTACAGACGTGTGTGTGCGTGCGCGCGCGCGCTGTGTGACAAGGGACACAGAGAGGTACACCTCTTATCTCTGATCTCTCAGTAATCTCCTTTTCTGTTTCTAATCTCCCTTATTGGCTCATGGTAGTAACCTGAAGCATCTCAACCATCACCGTCACTGCCGTGTGCGCGCTGTGGCTTACCCCTGGGGCCGGTGGCTCGGTGGCTCGCTTGTTCAGTGGGTGTTGTGGCGGAGGGTGGGTAGCGCCGCTGCCGCCGCCGCCGCGGGTCCGGGTGCTCTGTCCCAGCCCGGCAGCCGAGCGCGCGGTGCCGGAGCCCCCTCCCACCCCGCCCTCACCCCCATCCTCCCCTCCTCTACCCTCTGCGCCTCCCCCCACTCCGCCCCGCATTACCATATGGAGGCCGAGTCCCTGCGAATCACAGCAGCAGCGGGCGGCATTTGAATAAGCCCCGCAACCCCAGGCAGACCCCAACTCCTCAACAAGATGCGTGCCCTGCATCAAGGGCCACCACTCCAGCCGGTAACCTGGCAGTGACCGACACCTCCCCAAAGTGTCCTGGGTGCGCGGGAGAGAGGTTCTGGCCTCCCACTTGCTACTTTTATATTAACTTGACTGATAGGATCAGACAATAAATGGGGGGGAGAGGTGGAAAACGAGAGAGAGATACACACACGCACAGAGGAAGGGGAGCAGAATGGGGGGGGGCGGAGAAGAGATGGGAAAGGAAAGAGGAAAGGCACTGCGGTGTGTGTGGGGGGTGGCGCCACAAGGGAAAGGAAGACAGAGACTGAGGAAATGGGGAGAGGGCAGAGAGGGGAGCCCAAAGGTTTGGGTGAAAAGGGGTAAAATAGGGAGGCAGTGGGGAAAAGAGGGGAGGGGAAGAGATACCCAAATATCTGATTTTGGACTTTCCAAGCTAAAAATATCACCTCACTGAACTTCACAACCTCCAATTAGACACGTGTTTCTCCCCCCTCCCACATCAATGAATGATTAATTTGCTGTCTCAATCATAAATAATTATTTAAAATTGTATAACAGATATAGGATTTAACATAAAGCCGCCAATTTTGTGAAACATAACAAAAGGCATGACATTTAAAGATGATATTGGCCACCTCAAGGTAAAAATAAAGGCTTGCCTTGAATACTCAGGCATTTCCCCAGCCATGTCCCCCAAAACAGTGAGACCAAGGCCCAGAGTCAGGAACAAGACGTGTTTCGAAATATTTTGGACTTTAAGTAAGAATTATTATTTCATTCTCTTTGATATTTGATTGATACATTTTTCTTCTTCACCAACTGATCGTGTTTACCAAAATATATAGATCAAATGTGGGGTTTAAAAATTTTTTACTGCAAAATATCCCCAAGTTTTAAATGAAGATTTTGGCTTTTAAACGTTAGTTTAAATACAAAGCCAGTTCCATTTTGCATCCTAACT